AACTCCTTATCTTCCCACGAGTTCATCCATATCAAAAGTACCAAAATCCAACTACAAATAACTCCTCAAACCCTTACTCAAAGGTCTCCAATCTCAAGCCCCAGTTTCTTCAATATTTACCCACAATTTCCATAAATTTCAAGCCTAATCAATGAAATAACACCATAGGAACGAGTTTTATGATAAAAAAATCTTACCTCAATGAAGTTCCCTCTGATTCCTTCTCCAAAATCCCCCCAAAAGCTCCAAAATCGATTTTAAAATGGTGAAGAAAGCTGAAAATCACAAAGGAGGGTTTATATACTTTCTGACCCAGGGATTCCGCACCTGTGGTCTAACCCACCGCATCTGCGATTTCCACTTAAAGGCCCATTTTCGCATCTGCGACAAGACTCCACGCAGATGCGCTCCAGCAACCGCTTCTGTGATTCCAGGTGACTTACCTCTTTGCCACATCTGCGGCTCCATCTCTGCCAAAATCTTCTGTCAAAATCTTCTGTCAACCATTTGAAATCACCCCGAGGCCCCCGTGACCTCAACCAAAAGCACGAACAAGTCATATACCACCATCCAAACTTATACCAATCTTCAAACACCTCAAACAACATCAAAACAACCGAATCCCATCGAATTCAAGCCTAAGAATTCCAAAAACTTCCAAATTCCACTTTTGATCAAAAAGTCTATCAAACCACGTCCGAATGACCTGAAATTTTGCACACACATTCCAAATGACACAACAGACCTACTGCAACTCCCGGAATTCCATTTGGAACCTTATATCAAAATCTCACCTATCAACAGGAAAATGCCAAAATTCCCATTTCGCCAATCAAGCCTAAATCTACTTCGGACCTCCAAAACACATTCCGATCACACTCTTAAATCTCAAATCATCTCCCGTAGCTATTCGAACCATCAAATCACATCCAAGCCCTTTTCGCATAAGTCAATATCCAATTGACTTTTCCAACTAAAGTTTACTCAAAAGAGACTAAGTGTCTCAAACCTTACCAAAACCTCTCCGAACCCGAGGCAACCAACCCGGTAATACATAATACATCTGAAAAATGCGATAAGAAGCAGAAATTGGGAAACAGAGTGGTAACTCATGATACAACCGGTCGGGTTGTTACACAAACTCCTAGAGTGCGGAGGAATTAGAAATTGTGCAGACCGTGGGGGGGGGGGGGGGATTCACAGGTTTGATGGTCTAGCTTAGGAAGTTTGTATCACTTAATCTATCAGGAATTTGAAGATGATCCAAATGAAAGTTGTAGCTCTTTGAGTCTATTTTCCAGAAAATCAAATAGTTCACAATTTGGACATTTGTAAAGAAAGTTATGGTCAATATACTGAATACTGGTAGTGTAGTTGATGCTGATGTGCGGCCGCACAATTTGGATTGCGGTCATAGGACTTGGAAGTGCGGACCACACTAGGAAAAGTACGGTCACCACTGTGGGAGATAAGATGTTGTTGTAGTATACAAGCTGGACTTTTGGACTTTTATTTAATGCTTTACCACTTTAGAGACTTAGGAGCTCGGGTTTGAAGGGTTTCAACATAAACTTTCATCTACAAGATAGGGGTAAGTGATTCTAACATATATCCAAGAGATTTACATGAATCCATCACAAGATTTAACATCAAACCGTGGGATTTAACAATATAAATTGGGGTTTTTTGACAAAACTTTTCTAAAGTGATTAATTGGTTTTGAATATCGATTCGGAGTCAGATTTGTATGAAACAAGTATGGTTAGACTCGTAATTGAATGGATTGTTGGATTTTGTTGCGACCAAATGCAGACGCAAGTATACGCGGTCATCAAGTAATAAAGTGACTTAAAGTCGGATGTCGAACCCACGAGGACTTATGATTAACTATTAACTAAATTAAACTATCATAACTATCTAAACGAGAATTAAAACTTGAAGTATTTGATTTTAAACTAATTAAAATAAAGAAAAATAAATAATGAACTTTGAATAGAGAAAGAGCAGATTTTTATGTTATCAATGTTATGAAAACGATCTAGGGTTATGGGCAATCTAATATTCCTATTGTATTCTTCAACTAAATTGACTAACTAATTTATCTAGCTTATTGGTTGACAGGGTTAATATCGCTCATAAGAATCTGTCAAGTTCTTACTCGCCTATTCAAGCTAACCTAAAGCCTATATGTTTATGGAATTAGAACTAACAAGAACGCATTGATAATTCCCGTACATCAACCAAGCAAGGCAATTAGGTATATGTCTATCCTAACCGCGGATCCATTCCCTGACGCTTAAGAACTTGCTTTACTCAATCCTATATGCAATCTAGAATTTCCACTTTCGAGTTCAATTCTAGATTCGTAGATAGTATTCAATTTGTGATCAAGTAATCAAATAATTAAGCACAGGATTGAATAAATATACCAATACGATAAACTAAGAAATCAAAATCAATATTCGAATAACAATAGTCATGAAAGAACCACAACCCTAGAAGTTGAAGTTTAGCTCCACATAGACATGGTAGTCAAACAACAAATCATATAAATAAACATAAAAATTACTAAGTTTGGTGGACAAAAATATGATACTCAGCCTCCACAGCGGCTTTGTGCTCTCCCTTCGTCAAAAGTTCTCTAAAAAAGTGTTTCCCCCTCAAAAATAGGTTTAGGACCTCTTTTATACGTGTTGGGACCGTGTAGGACCGAATTAACTAAGTCCCGGGAGAAATAGGACATGTTCACATTTTGAGCGTCCAGGGCAGCGTGGGACGCTAGCCCTGGCACTTAACTTTTTATCATTCTATTTTGAGCGCCACAGGTAGCGCCCCACGATGCTTGTGACCCTCAAATTCGCACTTTTGCCTTCTCGTCCGATTTTAGCTCCAATTCATGCACTTTCATCCCAAATTGCATCCAAATGATTCCTACACATAAAAATACCACAAATTAGCACAAATCATTATATTGTACATCTCAAATCTCCGAGACATGAGCAAAATATGAGGAAATATACATTAAAATATGCATATATTAAGCCAAACATCAACACCCCACACTTAAACGTTTCTCGTCCTCGACCAACAAATAACATTATATTTGAGCACTCTACATTTATAACCATGGTTGATAGCAATAATTAAACTCTAGCATAGGCAATCACCACACACTTCCCTTTAACTTATGCCATACTTCAAAAATATTCAAGCAAAGACACCATGCTCATAACAATCCTAGCCTCACAAAACCGACTCAATGCCACAATATACTCATGGCTTGAACACCCAACATCATAGAGAAAGCTAATAATGTTACCTATCCCTTATAAAACCATTTCCCCTCACAACAAGAACAAGAGAGTCGAATCTCATGATCAAATTTAGTTTAAGGATTCACTTGTATATAAAAGAAATACACTCTCACAAAGAAGTCACATGCACACAATAGGTACCATAGGCTTGCCCTTAATATAAATCTCTACTAATGTAAGCTCGCTCGATCTAAGATCAATTAGGACTTTTTGTGGTTGTAATGTGGGCTAAGGAATGAGTAGGATATATATAGGAATAGTGGTTCACCCTGCTAAGCACTTTAACACCTCACCAAATAACTTAAGCACAAATTCTTCAATCCACTTCAATTTGACAAATAATATTAACCCAAAAAATATTCCATTTTTCTTTGAGCACTACCGTCATTTACACTCCACTAGAAAAAATAAAGATACTTATTTATCTACATTTTGTTTTTTGTTTTTTGTTTTTTATTTGTTTTTTTTCAACTTCCGGTAGTGGTGTATTATTTTACAAAATAAGTTCACTCTTCTTTCTTTCATTGGTTTCACTCAAAATCCACCCCACATTCCCTCCTTACTTCTTCAAGTGCTCATTTCACAATTAAAGTGCTTTAAGAGATAAAAGGATCAAAACAATGTCAATTAAGAAAAAACAGGGTATAGGCTTGTAATGTGGGTGCCAAATAAAAGTCTGTAAGCTCAAAAGGTTTAACTAGGGGTAGATTTTATTTGTGATAAGTAATTAAGCTCAAAAAGATCAAAGAAAGTCTAAAATAATTTCTCAAACCGAGCATCACCTAAAATTTCACTTCAACTCACATCCCGGACAAGTTCTAGATATAAGTACAATACATGGACTACACAAAAACCTCAGCAGACATGGCACATGATTCACTAAGGACAGTCCATTCCGACTCTCAATAAATGCAAGTATTCACGGAGGCACGAGATATTAAGCATTAAGCACAAAGTGAACAATAGTCAAATAAATGAGACATAGGTGTCACAAGACATGCAAACCAATCAAGCAAGGTATCATCAATAATTTCAAATCATAAGGAAGATACTACACATGCCAAAGCATAAATATGCTACTATCAAACACGTCAAGGGCGCCTAGGTTCATCAAGTTTCCTCCATTTTATTCCCTAAATTCCTAATTTACTCTAAAAGGAAAAAAATATTATTCGGTGTGAGCACCTAATTTTTGCCCTACAGAAAACATTCTTACAAAATCCACAAAAAATGGTTTTTTCCTATTTGTTTTTGAATTTATAAAATTTTAGGATTTTTTTTAAAATTGATTGTATGCATTTAGTTGCATTTTCATGCATGTTTAATATTTTAAATCATAAAAAAATCATAAAAATTGTCAAATTTTCATTTCATGCCATTTTAACATTAATTTATATTTTAGGAATTAATTACTCTTTAATTGTTAGATTAATACATGAAAGTCACAAAAATATACATTAGCTTTAATCAATTAGTTTATTTAATGAGTTAAAATGCTAATTAGGTCATTTTGGTAAAACAAATTTAATTAGTAGTAAGGTAGCTATTTTTTGAAAGATCAAATTTTACTCTTGTTTCAAATTGGCCCAATTTTAGGGCGCAAATACCAGGCCCAAACGGATTCCCCCTTTAAAACACCACCTTCCCAAAACCTTAAAAGGACCTAATTTAGACTCCCCCCCTAAAAAAATCTAACAACGGGCACCATCACCATCTCAAAAAAGAGAAAATTAGATCCCCTCCCTCAAACTAACCCTAGTCGTTGCACCCCTCTCCTATCCCCTTCTTATTTCTTATCTTCTCACCCATACTCATACATTGGGCTACACACCTAAATGCATCTGAAAACAAATTTGAAATTCAAAAATTTCCTTATTAGATCTGTAATTTTCAGCTTCAAATTGAGGGGAAAAACACAAAAAAAGAGTAAAGTTTCAGCTGACCTTTTTTTTACTCAAAATAATCAGTCGTAGTGGTTGATTCAAGAGGTCTTCAATACTATTTTTCTGGTTTTTGAAAACTGAATTTCAAAGAACATTAAAAAGGGTATTAATTACTGAAGTTTCAAAAAATCAACTTCCTCTTTTCTGGGTTTGCACAAGCCGTCAAAGCTCAAATTCATGCTTGTTGTTGTTGATTTGGTTGTTTCAAAAGGCTGCTAAACTCTAGTTTTTTTGGCATTTAGGTATGTTCATGTCCATCTGTACATTTCTATACAACCTTATATTTGATCTTTCACACTACGTGTGCGTTTAATCATCTGAAATTCAGCATATTAGATCAATAAAGCTGCCTCCATCCCTTGTTCATTCTGTGATGTTATCTATGTACAATTAAAAATTCCATTGTTAATCACTTGCATAAACAACCCATCTCCGGAATATTTGTTTGTTTATTTTACAATGATAATAATAGTGACTTGATTTGCAGTAATTAATTTCATTTCTTCATGAAATATCTGTTTAAATTGTGCATCGGTTTGATTTACACTAGGTTTGCCAGAATCGTTTTAGTTGGTATATTGTTGTCTGAATCTCCTATTTCAATTCTAATTTCATGAGCATTAGATATAACTCTAAAAATCTTTTAGTTCTTGTTTGATAGCTAAAAAAAATAAGAAGTAGTGAATCATTATTTTTCCTTGGAACCTTTGTTCATTAGTTATGCCAATTTGGCCATTTGGTTTGTCTTGTAAAAATCAGAAACTGGATTGGATGTGCAATTTAGTTTGCGAGTTTAGGCCAAATTAGATATATATCTGCCAAAAGCCAATAAAAAAAGAAGAGAAACAACAACGTTCCTATTTATTCATGTGCCGATCCAATTTTTTTCAAACACACGAAGCTAGTCTACTCATTCATAATTAATTCACTTTATTTCCTCCACAATAATATCCATACCTTATGACTTTATAGTAACCTCAAAGAAGGAAAATAACTCATGAACATCGTAGCTTGCTTTAGGCGCGATTAATAAAATTATCGTGACTATGGGTACGGTTCCCGTGCCATAGTCATGATACGCAATCCCCAATTCGGGAGTGCGTTTTATGTGACTTGACCATAACTTCAAACAATAATAAAAAATGAACATGTTGTAAATCGCGGGTGCATTTCATGTGATGCGGCTTGTAATATGTACCAAAACGACAAGTGTACGACAATCATGACTTGTTCCAGAAATAAATCCATAAATAAATAAAAGCGGCACTAAAGTTAAAAATGCACAATAGATTTAAAACACGCAATTAAGCAGATAATTAGGCCAATTATTAATAGTTGAGCGACCGTGCTAAAACCAATGCCTAACGCCTTCTCCCGGGTTACCAGAATTCCTTACCCGGTTTTCTGTGTTCGCGGATCAAAAAATAGAGTCAATTTTCCTCGGTTTGGGATTTAAAATAAATTGGTTACTTGGGACACCAATAATTATGCCAAGTGGCGATAATGAATTGTCACGGCCCCAGTTCTCCCTCCATGAACTGTTGTGATGGCACCTAGTCTTTTCGATTAGGTAAGCCTAACAATTTGTGGAAAAAGGGAACAACAGATAAAACTAATAAAAACTGCAGAAATAAACATAATGAAAGTTTAAAATGCCGCTCGGCATATACAAATATAAACTCTCAAACTAGACAACTTCCAAAATCCGGAATCTCATGAAATCACAAGCTATGGATACTATATTGTGATCTAACTCCAGAATGTCCAAATCAAAATAAATACATAAGGGCTAAATGTGATAACCCAAAAGGTCATCACTTGTTTTTAAAATGAATTCTACGTTCCGAGGCTTTAAAACCCTTTTTTAGTCTTACCTTAATTTGCGTTCATAGTCCGTGCGCGTAGCCGGAAAGCCATTTTATAGAAATATGTGAAAAATAATAAATTTGGACTATAAAATAAATTAAGTTGACTTCGGTCAACATTTTGGGTAAAAGGACCCAGATCCGTGATTTGACGGTCCCGAAGGGTCCGTAGGAAAATATGGGACTTGGGCGTATGCCCGAAATCAAATTCCGAGGTCCCAAGCCCGGGAAATGAATTTTCGAAAGAAATTGTTTTATGAAATTAATTATGCGATTTGGAAAGGAATTGTGATTAGAACTTGATGGTATCAGGCCCGTATTTTGGTTCTGGCGCCCAGTATAGGTGTTATATGTGAATTAAGATAAGTCTGTGAGGTTTGGTAAGAAACGGACTTGAAACGACGTGAATCAGATCATTTTTGAGAAAAATTGGAAATTGAAGTTCATAAGGAAATTTCATGATTTTGATGCTAAATTAATAGTTATTGATGTTATTTTAGTGATTTGAATGCACGAACGAGTCCGTATGATATTTTGGGATTGGTGTACATGTTTGGTCTGGAGCCCCAAGGGATCAGGTGAGTTTTGGATAGGCCACGGGGTGGATTTTAGACTTGAGGAAATTGTAGTTTTCAGTTGTGCATAGCAGGCATGCAAGCTTCGCATTTGCGAATCCTGGATTGCAAATCCGATATCGCAAGTGCTAGGGTCTTGTCGCAATTGCGAAAGAAGCCCAGGCCAGCTCCATTTCGCAAATGCGAGACACCCTTCGCAAATGCGATATGTCCTCTTGGGCCTGTTATCGCAAATGCGATATTTGGTTCGCATTTCCCATCTCGCAATTGCGAGAGCCCCTTCGCATTTCCCAACTTAGCAGAGGTCGGGGTTCACAATTACGAACCCCTGTTCGCAATTCCCACATCCGCGACCTGCAACTTTTATACTTAGCCGAAAATCAATCATTTTTCACATCTTTTCAAAACACAAACTCCCTAGGGCGATTTTTCAAGAGCAACACTTCTTCCAAATCAATTGTATGTCAATTTTAACTCATTTCCTTCAATCATTAACATCTTTTAACATGATTTCAACTCAAAATCAATGATTTTTATGGGGGGAATTGGGTGTTTTGGGTAGAACCTAGGTTTTTCAAAAATTGGGGATTTTGACCTCCATTTGGGGTCCGATTTCAAAACAAATTATATATTTGGGCTCGTGGGGAAATGGGTAATCGGGTTTTGGTTCGAACCTCGGGTTTTGACCATGTGGCCCCGAGGCAATTTTTGACTTTTTGGGTAAAATTTTGGAAAACTTATTTTCATGCATTAGAATTGATTCATTTAGAATTTATTGATGTAATTAAGTAACTTGTGGCTAGATACGAGCAAATTGGTGGTGGAATCAAGAGGTAAAGCGATAGTAGAGACTTGAATTGTGTTCGTGGCATCGAGGTAAGTGTTTGGTCTAACCTTATCTTGAAGGATTAAGAGTCGAGTCCTATTTGCTATGTGGTGTTTGTCGAGTACGATGTATAGGCCTGGTGACGAGTATCTATACATTAGTGTCAAGCATCCCTGTGAGTCTTACATTGTGATTATTATGGCTTCGTTGTATTATTCATGCTTTGATGATGATTTCTATTATTGGGCAAAGTTTGTGGAAGTAATTATGATATTTGAACATTGAGGAGTGTTGTCTCAAGTTGTACAATGAAATGTGAAAGTATAAGTGGAAATAGAACCTTTTAGAGCATTGGCTCAAAGTTGTGAAGTGAGTTGGGAACTAAAAGTGAAAAAGAGAAGAGAAACATTGTATTATCTCCTTTGCCAGGAATTTGTTGCTTTTAATGTTATCTCCCTTGTCGGGATGTTGATGCTTCTTACGATGTTGTTCCCTTGTCGGGACTTGATTGTTGAACTATTGTTCCCTTGCCAGGATTCTTATTATAGTTTCATTTATTCTCTTGCCCTATTGTTTGTGATTGTTGTTTGGGTGAGGAAGGGTATTAAAGCACGAAGGGTGATGCCGTATATGATTTGTAAGGAAAGAGTGTAAAGCACGAAGGGTGATGTCGTGCCGCACGATGTACCATTCCATGCGTATTATATTGATTTTATGGTGAGAATGAGAGTAAAAGTACGAAGGGTGATGCCGTGCAGTTTATATTGATTCTTATGGTGAGGACGAGAGTAAAAGCACGAAGGGTGATGTTGTGCACTTGTCCTTGATTTTCCTGATTCTTGCTGATAATCGAGTTATGTTGTCCTTTACGTTTGTTTACTAATTTTCTGTTGTTACTTGATTTTATTTTGATGTTATAGATTCCCTTACCCTATTTGCCTTGTGATTGTTGCTTGGGTGAGGAAGAGTGTAAAGCACGAAGGGTGATGTTGTGTATTATTTTGGTGAGAGAGTGTTAAAGCACGAAGGGTGATTCCGTGCACTTGTTTTCGATTTCCTAATTTTTATTGATAACTGAGTTACGGTTTCTCTATATTTAATTGTTGATTTCCTGTTGACACTTGTTGTACCCCGCAGCATGATCCCCCCTTCCTATTTTCAATTGAACTGTGGTGATCCTCATATTTATTTGTTGTTCTTCTGCTATTATTCGATGTCCCCGCATCATGTTACCCCCTCCCATACTTGACTGTTATTCCTGTTATTCTTTTCCACTGTATATAGTTGAGTTGCACAGTTTTATGTGGTATTTTGGTCCTCGCCTTGTCACTACTTCGCCGAGGTTAGGCTAGGCACTTACTAGCACATGGGGTCGATTGTGCTGATACTACACTCTGGACTTTGTGCAGATTCTGGAGTAGCTTCTGGACCATAGATTAGGTTGCTACCTTCAGTCCACACGGAGATCCAAGGTATACATGCAGGCATCCGCAGGCCCTGGCATCTCTCTCTATCCCTTTATCCCTGTTTCATTTCCTTAATTCAGAAACAATATATCATTTATTTTTCAGAATTTATATATAGTAAATCTTAGATTGTCTGTGACACTATGACACCAGTTCTGGGTGGTTAGGGCTTAAACAATTGTATTAGTTACATGATCAGATACTCTATTGCTTTTCTTTCGCTTATTTTAAATTTTCATTGTTTACATGTTATTGCTTGCCTAGCTTACATTAGTAGGAACCATCACAACTCTCTAGGGTGTAAAATCCGGGTCGTGACAAGTTGGTATCAGAGCTCTAGGTTACATGGTCTCACAGTTCACAGACAAGCTTAGTAGAGTCTGAGGGATCGGTACGGAGACGTCCGTATTTATCCCACAGAGGCTACAGAGTTAGGAAAAACTTCACATCTATTCTTTCCTGTCGTGTGATTTTGTTCTCTCAATGCTAAATTGAAACCTCTACTCTTGTCCTTTCACGAATGGTGAGGTCACGTACCGCTTCTTCAACCAAATAGCAACACAGACCAATGTTAGATCAGCTACATCCTCGGAGGCTTTGCGGAGGTTGGATAGGTTTCACCCAGCTCTTCACTACTACTTTCAGCGGTTCATCTTCTGAGAATCCCCAGGATTATTAGGATAGCTGTCATGAGGTTCTTCGGAACATGGGGATAGTGGAGACCAATGGGGTCGATTTTGCTAATTTTCGCTTGTCTGGGCCTGCCAAGACTTGGTGGAGAGACTATTATTTGGCCAGACTGGCTAGATCACCAGCTTTGATTGGGGAGCAGTTTACTCAGCTATTTCTGGAGAAGTTTCTCCCCATCACTCGGAGAGAGATCTACCCGAGGTAGTTTGTGTGATTCCAGCAGAGTTCTATGATTGTTACTCAGTACAAGACCAGTTTTAATGATTTGACCCATCATGCTCTTCTTATATTTCCCAGTGAGAGAGAGTGAGGAGGTTCATTGAGGGACTCGTTCATCCTGCTCAGTCAGTTAGAGGTGTAGGTAGAGATAATAGAGGTAGAGATACAAGTACTGTTCTGGTTTGTAGTAGAGATGCTTCGATTTTATTTGATCCAGAATCTACATACTCGTATGTGTCATCTTATTTTGCACCATATCTGGTCATGCCTATTGATTCTTTGAGTGCTCCTGCTTATGTGTCTACATCGGTGGGTGATTTTATTGTAGTAGATCGAGTCCATCGTTTGTGTGTAGTTGTGATTGGAGGTCTTAAGACTCATGTAGATTTGCTTCTTCTGGACATGGTTGATTTCGATGTCATATTGGGGATGGATTGGTTATCACCTTACCACGCTATCTTGGACTGTCATGCCAAGACTGTGACCTTAGCCTTACCGGGTTTACCTCGATTAGAGTGGAGAGGGACTCCTAGTCATTCTACCTGTAGTGTTATCTCGTATATGAAGGCTCGGTGTATGGTCTAGAAGGGGTGGTTGGCCTATTTGGCCTATGTACGTGATTCTAGTGCTGAGGTTTCTTCTATTGATTATGTGCCCGTTGTTCGTGAGTTTCCTAAGGTATTCCCTTCAGACCTGCCGGGTATGCCACCCAATAAGGATATTGACTTTTGCATTGATTTGGCTCCGGACACTCAGCCCATTTCTATCCCCCCGTATCGCATGGCCCCGCCTGAGTGGAAAGAGTTGAAGGAGCAGTTGCAAGACTTGCATGAGAAGGGTTTCATTAGACCTTGTTTTTTTTCCTTGGGGTGCGCCGGTGTTGTTTGTTAAGAAGAAGGATAGATCAATGAGAATGTGTATTGATTACGGGCAGTTGAACAAGGTTACAATCAAGAATAAGTATCCATTGCCAAGGATTTATGATTTTTTCGATCAGCTTCAGGGTGCCAAGGTATTTTCGAAGATTGACTTGAGATCTGGCTACCATCAGTTGAGGATTAGGGCATCTGATATCCCTAAGACAGCTTTCCACACTCGGTACGGGCATTATGAATTCCTAGTGATGTCATTCGGGTTAACAATTGCCCCAACAACTTTTATGGAGTTGATGAACCGAGTGTTCAAGCCTTACTTGGATTTGTTCGTGATAGTCTTCATTGATGAGATTTTGATCTATTCTCGTAGTCGGGAGGAGCACGAGCAACATCTTAGAGTGGTTCTTCAGAGTGTGAGGGATAGTCAGTTTTATGCCAAGTTTTCGAAATGTGAGTTCTGGTTGAGTTCAGTTGCATTCCTAAGTCATGTTGTATCCGCAGAGGGTATTCAGGTTGATCCGAAGAAGATTAAGGCCGTCAAGAATTGGCCTAGACCAGCATCAACTATAGATATTCGGAGTTTCTTGGGATTGGCAGGCTACTATCGTCAGTTTGTGGAGGGGTTTTCATCTATCGCAACCCCGATGACTAGGTTGACCCAGAAGGGTGCCCAATTCAGGTGGTCGGATAAGTGTGAAGCGAGCTTTCAGAAGCTCAAGACAGCTCTGACTACGACACCGATATTAGTTTTTCCCACAGGTTCAGGGCCTTATCCAATTTATTGTGATGCATCTCGCATTGGACTTGGTGCGGTGTTGATGCAGGATGGCAAGGTCATTGCCTATGCTTCATGGCAGTTGAAGATTCATAAGAAGAACTATCTGGTTCATGATTTGGAGTTGGCAGCCATTGTTTACGCATTGAAGATTTGGAGGCATTATCTGTATGGCGTGGCATGTGAGTGAGCTCTTTCAAGGATCACAAGAGTCTTTAGTATTTGTTTAAGCAAAAGGAGTTGAATTTGAGGCAGAGAAGGTGGTTGGAGTTATTGAAGTACTATGATATCACCATCTTATATCATCCGGGAAAGGCCAATGTGGTGGCCGATGCTTTGAGTAGGAAGTCAGCCAGTATGGGCAGTCTTGCTTATATTCCGGTCGGTGAGAGATCGCTTGCTTTGGATGTTCAGGATTTGGCCAATCAATTTGTGAGGTTGGATGTTTCTGAGCCTATCCGTGTGTTATCTTGCACAGTAGCTCGTTCTTCTATATTGGAGCATATATGAGATCGATAGTATGATGATCCCCATTTGTGTGTCCATAGAGACACGGTGCAGCACGGAGGTGCCAATTAGGTTACCTTAGGAGATGATGGAGTTTTGAGGTTGCATGGTCGAGTTTGTGTGCCTAATGTGGATGGGCTTCGATAGTTGATTTTAGAGGCGGCCCATAGTTCCCGGTACTCTATTCATCCGAGTGCCGCTAAGATGTATCAGCATTTGCGGCAACATTATTGGTGGAGAAGAATGAAGAAGGATATCGTTGCACATATGGCTCGGTGTTTGAACCATCAGCAGGTTAAGTACGAGCATTAGAAGCCCGGTGGGTTGTTCAAGAAGATTGAGATTCCTAAGTGGAAGTGGGAGCGGGTCACTATGGATTTTGTTGTTGGACTCCCACGGACTTAGAGGAAGTTCGATGCAGTGTGGGTTATTGTTGATAGGCTGACCAAGTCAGCACATTCATTCCTGTGGCAGTCTCATATTCTTCCGAGAGGTTAGCTGAGATCTATATTCGGGAGATTGTTCGCATTCATGGTGTGCCCGAGTCTATCATTTTGGACCGAGGTACGCACTTTACCTCACCTTGCTGGAGAGCAGTTCAGCGAGAGTTGGGCACGCAGGTTGAGTTAAGCACAACATTTCATCCTCAAACGGACGGGCAGTCTGAGCAGACCATTCAGATTTTGGTGGATATGCTCCGAGCTTGTGTCATTGACTTTGGAGGCTCTTGGGATCAATTTTTTCCTTTAGCGGAGTTTACCTACAACAATAGCTACCAGTTGAGTATCCAGATGGCTCCTTATGAGGCTTTATATAGTAGGCGGTGTCGGTCGCCGGTAGGATAGTTTGAGCCAGGAAAGGCTCGATTGTTGGGTACGGATCTAGTTCAGGATGCCTTGGACAAGGTCGGTGTTATTCAGGATAGGCTTCGTACAGCTCAGTCCAGGCAATAGAGCTATGCCGACCACAAAGTTCGAGATTTGGCTTTCATGGTCGGCGGGCTGGTATTACTTCGAGTGTCGCCTATGAAGGGCATGATGAGATTTGGGAAGAAGGGCAAGCTTAGCCCTAGGTTCATTGGCCCGTTTGAGATTCTTGATCGAGTGGGAGAGGTGGCTTATAGACTCGCATTGCCGCCGAGCCTATCAGCCGTCCATCCAGTGTTTCATGTGTCCATGTTTCGAAAATATCACGACGATCCATCCCACATGTTAGATTTCAGCACTATCCAATTGGACAGGGACTTGTCTTATGAGGAGGAGCCGGTAGCTATTCAAGACCGGCAGGTTCGTCAGTTGAGATCGAAGAGTTTTCCTTCTGTTCGTGTTCAGTGGTGAGGCCAGCCCGCTGAGGCATCGAACTAGGAGTCTGAGTCTGATATACGAAGCCATTATCCCCATCTTTTCCCCAACTCAGGTACTTCCTTCTTATGTCCGTTCAAGGGCAAACGGTTGTTTTAGAGGTGGAAAATATGATGACCCAAAAGGTCATCACTTGTTTTTAAAACGAATTCTGCGTTCCGAGGCTTTAAAAACCTCTTTTAGTCTCACCTCAATTTGTGTGCGCAGTCCGGGTGCGTAGCCGGAAAGCCATTTTGTAGAACTCTGTGAAAAATAATAAATTTTGACTATAAAATAATTTTAAGTTTACTTCGGTCAACATTTTGGGTAAACGGATCCGGACCCATGATTTGACGGTCTCGGAGGGTCCGTAGGAAAATATGGGACTTGGGCGTATGCCCGGAATCGAATTCCGAGGTCGCAAGCCTGAGAAATGAATTTTTGAAAGAAATTATTTTTTGAAATTAATTATGAGATTTAGAAATGAATTGTGATTAGAACTTGATAGTATCGGGCCTATATTTTGGTTTTGGCGCTCGGTACAGGTCTTATATATGAATTAAGATAAGTCTGTGAAGTTTGGTAAGAAACAAACTTGAAACGACGTGAATCAGATCATTTTTGAGAAAAATTGGAAATTGAAGTTCATAAGGAAATTTCATGATTTTGATGCTAAATTCATAGTTGTTGATTTTATTTTAGTGATTTAAATGTACGAGCGTGTCAGTATGATGTTTTTGGATTGGTGTACATGTCTGGTTTGGAGCCCCAAGGGCTCGGGTGAGTTTTGGATAGGCCACGGGGTTGATTTTAGACTTGAGGAAATTGCAGATTTTCAGTTGTGCATAGCAGGCCTGCAGGCTTCGCATTTGCGAAGCCTGACTCGCAAATGCGAGGGCCTTGTCGCAATTGCGAAAGAAGCCCAGGCCAGCTCCATCTCGCAAATGTGAGACTCCCTTCGGAAATGCGATATGCCCCCTTGAACCTGTTATCGCAAATGCGATCTTTGGTTCGCATTTCCCATCTTGCAATTGCGAGAGCCCCTTCGCATTTCCCAACATAGCAGAGGTCGGGGTTCACAATTTGCAATTGCGAACCCCAGTTCGTAATTCCCACATCTGCGTCCTGCAACTTTTATACTTAGCCGAAAATCAATCATTTTTCACATCTTTTCAAAACACCAACTCCCTAGGGCGATTTTTCAAGAGTAACTCTTCTTACAAATCGATTGTAAGTCAATTTTAACTCGTTTCCTTCAATCATTAACATCTTTTAACATGATTTCAACTCAAAATCAATGATTTTCATGGGGGAAATTGGGTATTTTGGGTATAACCTAGGTTTTTCAAAAATTGGGGATTTGGACCTCCATTTGGGGTCCGATTTCAAAACAAATTATATATTTAGATTCATGGGGAAATGGGTAATCGGGTTTTGGTTCGAACCTCGGGTTTTGACCATGTGGGCCCGAGACGATTTTTGACTTTTTTGGGTAAAATTTTGGAAAACTTATTTTCATGCATTAGAATTGATTCATTTAGCATTTATTGATGTAATTAAGTAACTTGTGGCTAGATACGAGCGAATTGGTGGTGGAATCAAGAGGTAAAGCGATAGTAGACACTTGAATTGTGTTCATGGCATCTAGGTAAGTGTTTGGTTTAACCTTAGCTTGAAGGATTAGGAGTCGAGTCCTATTTGCTATGTGGTGTTTGTCTAGTACGACGTATAGGCATGGTGACGAGTATCTATACGTTGGTGTCAAGCATGTCTGTGAGTCTTACATTGTGATTATTATGGCTTCGTTGTATTATTCATGCTTTGATGATGATTTATATTATTCGGCAAAGTTTGTGGAAGTAATTGTGGCATTTGAACATTGAGGAGCGTAGGCTCAAGATGTACAATGAAATGTGAAAGTATAAGTGGAAATTCAACCTTTTAGAGCATTGGCTCAAAGTTGTGAAGTGAGTTGGGAAGTAAAAGTGAAAAAGAGAAGAGAGTGATTGTATTATCTCTCTTGCCGGGAATTTGTTGCTTCTAATATTATCTCCCTTACCGGGATGTTGATGCTTCTTACGATGTTGTTCCCTTGCTGGGACTTGATTGTTGAACTATTTTCCCTTGTCGGGATTGTTATTGTAGTTTTATTTATTCCCTTGCCCTATTTTTTGTGATTGTTGTTTGGGTGAGGAAGACTGTTAAAGTACAAAGGGTGTTGCTGTGTATGATTTGTGAGGAAAGAGTGTAAAGCATGAAGGGTGATGCTGTGCCGCACGATGTACCATTCCGTTCTATTATATTGATTTTATGGTGAGGATGAGAGTAAAAGAATGAAGGGTGATGTCGTGCAGTTTATATTGATATTTATGGTGAGGACGAGAGTAAAAGCACGAAGGGTGATGCCGTGCACTTGTCCTTGATTTTCCTGATTCTTGCTGATAATCGAATTATGTTGTCCTTTACGTTTGTTTACTGATTTTCTGTTATTACTTGATTTTATTTTGATGTTATAGATTCCCTTACCCTATTTGCCTTGTGATTGTTGCTTGGGTGAGGAAGAGTGTAAAGCACGAAGGGTGATGTCGTGTATTGTTTTGGTGAGAGAGTGTTAAAGCACGAAGGGTGATGCCGTGTATTGTTTTGGTGAGAGAGTGTTAAAGCACGAAGGGTGATGCCGTACACTTGTCTTCGATTTCCTGATTTTTATTGATAACTGAGTTACAGTTTCTCTACTTTTAATTGCTGATTTCCTGTTGACACTTGTTGTACCCCGCAGCATGATCCCCCCTTCCTATTTTCAATTGAACTGTGGTGATCCTCATATTTATTTGTTGTTCTTCTGCTATTATTCGATGTCCCCGCAGCATGTTACCCCCTCCCATACTTGACTGTTATTCCTGTTCTTCTTTTCCGTTGTATATAGTTGAATTGCATAGGTTTATGTGGTAGTCTGGTCCTAGCCTTGTCACTACTTTGCCGAGGTTAGGCTAGGCACTTACCAGCACATGGGGTCGGTTGTGCTGATACTACACTCTGCACTATGTGCAGATTCCGGAGCAGCTTCTGGACCGTAGATTGGGTGGCTACTTTCAGTCCACGCGTAGATCCAAGGTACACATGCAGGTGCCCGCAGGCCCTAGCGTCTCCCTCTATTCCTTTATCCCTGTTTCATTTCCTTAATTCAGAAACTGTGTATCGTTTATTTTCCGGACTTTGTATATAGTAAATCTTAGATCGTTTGTGACACTATGACACTAGTTATGGGTGGTTAAGGTTTAAACAGTTGTATTAGTTACATGATCAGTTACTCTATTGCTTTTCTTTCGCTTATTTTAAATTTCCGTTGTTTACACGTTATTTCTTTATAACTTTTAAAGAACATAAAATGGTTAAAAAGCTTATTTGTTCAATGGTCGGCTTGCCTAGCTCACATTAGTAGGTGCTATCACGGCTCTCGAGGGTGAAAAATCCGGGTCGTGACACTAAAACTATAAGAGATAATGGAAAGGGACTCCTCGGTCTGTGGACGCGATAGATATACCTCGAAGTCTCTAGAGAATCGCCTCGCCTCAAGGGTAGTATGGTTGAGTCGAAGTACTTGGATCTGTACACGAAAAACATGTGTAGAATACGGCATGAGTACACCACAGCGGTACCTAGTAAGTGCCAAGCCTAACCTCGGTCGAGTAGTGACGAGGAAGGTCAGGGCCCTACCGGTCATATATAATAATATATAAGGAAAAGAAATAGTACTAAAGTAACACGGGGTAATAAGAGTAGCAACAATTACAACAGAGACAAAACAATCATAGAAGAAATACAGCTCAACACAGAGATAACAACTGCGGATCTCCCAGGATACCGTCCTGTAGTACCCAAATGTAAATATCCTGTGGATCTCCCGAGTGTCATCCCGTAGTCCAACTCATAGTGCGCGAGAATCTACCGAAATTCCGATCCGTAGTCCCAAATGTAAATGCCCAGTACTGGGGGGCTCTACTGGGTGTAGTCCAGTAGTTCTAATATAAATGTGCAGGGGGATCTACCAGAATACAATCCGTAGTCCCAAAGTAAACATGCAGGGGGGGATCTCCCAGGATACCGTCCCGTAGTCCCAAAGTAAACACACACCAGCAACACGAAGAATATTCAATTCAATCCGAATTTCATACCAAGGCAAAACAGGTATTTCTAACCTAGCATGCTGCACTGAATTCAAATAAAGCAGTTGAGCAAGTAAAGCAATTAAGTCAATTAGACATGCTTCCCTAAGTTAATAGTAGGCTTAAATTGCAAGTAGTATAAACATGGAAGAAAACACAGTTATAGTTACTTAATAAAAACAGGATTTTCAACAATTAGCACTTGTACGCACTCGTCACCTCACGTACAAGGCATTTCATATATCAACAATACCAAATCATAAGGGGAGTTCCCCCACACAAGGTTAGGCAACCACTTACCTCGAACCAGCCCAATCAACTCAATACCACGTTCTTGCCACAAGTATCCGACTCCAAATGTCCCAAATCTATTCAAAGTAATAGCATAATGTAAATATAACTTCAAGTAACTAATTCAACTAATTAATTCGAAGCTAATATGTGAAATTAGGAAAATCGCAGAAAAAGCCCCCTGGGCCCACGTTTCGAAATCGGGTAGAATTTACAAATTCAGAATCCTCACACTCTCACGAGTTCATATATACAGAAATTACTCCAATCCGACATCAAAATCTTGATCAAAACTCCAAAATCAGGCCTAAGAACTTTTCCAATTTTTCTCCAAGTTTTCACCCCAAATATGAATTCAAATGATGAATTTAAGCATAGATTCGTGAAAATTAATCAAAACCGAGTAAGAATTACTTACCCAAAACACCCTAGTGATAATCTCTCCCAAAATCGCCAATCCCAAGCTCCCAAATCAATTTCTAAGGTTTTGAGACTAAACCCTCGTTTCTGCCCCTTTTCTTACCAGTGAAATACATCTGCGGCTCTGGGACCGCACCTGTGGTCCCGCTTCTGTGAAGACCAAGTCGCACCTGCAACTTTTCATTAAACAGCAATTACCGCACCTGCGACACCCCTACCACACCTGCGGTCTCGTAGGTTCATTTTACTTATCGCACCTGCGGCTTCTGGAGCCTGGGCCAAATTCCGCTTCTGCGGTCACCTAGCCACTTCTGCGGCGCCGCACCTGCCGTCCTTCACACGCAGGTGCAGTTATGACAGGTTCGTCCAACTTTAGAATTCTCCTAAGTCCAATTCAACTTCCATCAAGCACCCGAAAGTCACCCGAGGCCCCCAGGACCTCAACCAAACCTGCCAACCAATCCTAAAATATCATATGAACTTATTCCAATCCTCGAAACATATCAATTAACGCTAAAACCATAAATCGCTCTCCAATCCAAGCCTAAGGATTCCCAAAACTTTCAAATTCCGTTTTCGATAAAAAAGTCTATCAAACCTCGTCTGAATGACCTAAAATTTTGCACACACGTCACATTCAACAATATGTAGCTACTCTAACTCTCAGAATTCCATTCCGACCCCTAGATCAAAATCTCACTATCGAACCGAAAACTCTAAAAATTCAACTTTAGGCCTTTCAAGCCTAAATAAGGTACGGACTTCCAAAACTCAATCCGAACACGCTCCTAAGCCCGAAATCACCCAACAGAGCTAACGGAACCAATGGAATTCCATCCCAAGGTCGTCTTCTCACTGCTCCGACTACAGTCAGAATTCTAAAACTTAAACTCTCATTTAGGGCCTAAGTGTCCCAAAACTCTTCGAAACTCCAAATAAATCCTCCCGTCAACTCACCATAGCAGAAACAAACACGGGAAATGCATATAATAGGGGATCGGGGCGTAAATTCTTAAAACTACCGGCCGGGTCATTACATGAATAAATAAATAATCCCATTTCGAAATATGTCATTTTAATTGTAAAAACTCCCTATCCCATATGTCCCTCGAGAAAAAGGAGGTGTGACAGCTCTGGCGACTCTGCTGGGGACAAGAACCTAGAACTTCTGGTTCAGGGTTCAAAATTCGAGCTTAGAATAACTTTTATAGTTGGCTTTTATTTATTATCTGATTTTTACATGTTTGAACCTAATGTGCTAAATACCGCTTTTTACCGCTTTGATATTTCTTGAACTATATATAAAAACTGTTATGAAACCCTCTTCTCTCTGAGTCTTCTAAATCTTATGGGAAGCGTGCACTTCACGTGGCTTCTTTTCTGTTAGAGTCATATCCCAATTTTAGAACGAGGTTCGGACAAGTTGCAAAGCCGGTGAAGCTTCTGTATTTCCATTACGCTCTTTCCCCCCTACGGCTCAAGTTGTCTGCTCGGGTAAGCTAGGTCTAGAACAATACACCCAGGTTTTTAAATCTAAAATAACATATCCTCATGCCGGATCTCAAGTAGGAATGCTTGTTTGCATCACGTGCATTTGACTTTGGGGACTCAACACAGAGGTTGGGTCCGTCTAGGACAGGTGTACCCACATTAAAAGACCATCCTGATGCATCTTACGTGCTACTCGCACATCTGTTTGTTTCGGCTTTCATGTTGACCGGCTTCTAGAATAGGGAAAGAAAATCAAAAAAAAAATGGAAAAGAAAACCATAGTGAGCTAGGAAAGAGAAAATTCACCAGGTTCTGAAAACCCCAAGTATTTGAAAAAAAAAATACTGAAACTCTGCCAAAATTCTAAAAAAAAAAAGAAAAAGAAAAGGTCATTCATAATTGAGCCGAAATTTTCAATTGTCGTGTTACCCTTGTTCCGTCAAAACTGACCGAACTACACGGGTTTGATTCTCACCAGATGTGAGATACGTAGGCAAACCTCATCGGTTCCGACCCCAATTTTCAAAAATCCAAAAATATTTTCCTTTAGTTCCTTCTTTAGAAATCCTTTCTTAGAAAATTCAAAAAAAGAAGATGTTTTTTTAAACTAAAAAAATACTTTCCTTCTTTATGAAATTTTTCATAAGGAAAAAAGAAATAAAAAGAAAAATCAATAAAAAATCAAAATCTAAAATACGGGTTTCTTTCATTTTGAAGTAGTTTTCCGAAAAATTCAAAAAAAAATCAGAAAAAAATCCAAAATTATTTTTTTAAGATGTCTTTTTTCGTAAATTTCATAAAAAATTGAAAATTTAAAGTCCAAAAATATTTTCTCTTTTCTTTAGAAGTACTTTTGCAAATAAAAAAAAATTCAAAAATCCGAAATATTTTGTTTAAAGTCCCTCTTTCAAAAATTAAGAGGCAACAATCAAAATCAAAAAAAAAATATTTTCTACCTTTTTAGAAGTCCTTTTCCCAAAAATTCAAAAACAAAAAAAAATCCAAAAAATATAGTTTCTTTCATCTTTAGAAGTCTTTCTTTCAAAAAAATATCAATACCAAAAATCCAAAAATATTTTCTTTCTTCTTTAAAAGCCTTCTTTCGAGGGAAAAAGATATCTTCTTATTCTAAACGCTTTCATGGTCTGAGTGTTATAAAAAAAAAACTAAAAAAAAATAGAAAAAAAGAGTTAGTTTATTTACTCCATTCCTAATCTTCCCAAACTACGCAAGATCTGATTCATGCGGTGTCATAATACAATGGGAATCCCCATCGGATTCGATCATAGCCATAAAATTAATTGAGTGAAAAATAAACTANTTCGAGGGAAAAAGATATCTTCTTATTCTAAACGCTTTCATGGTCTGAGTGTTATAAAAAAAAACTAAAAAAAAATAGAAAAAAGAGTTAGTTTATTTACTCCATTCCTAATCTTCCCAAACTACGCAAGATCTAATTCATGCGGTGTCATAATACAATGGGAATCCCCATCGGATTCGATCATAGCCATAAAATTAATTGAGTGAAAAATAAACTAAAAAAAAGAGAAAGAATAATTGAGTGAAATAAAAAGAGTGAAAAAAGAAGAAAAAAAAAGAGTGACAAAAAATAAAAGAGTGACAAAAACAAAAAAAGAAAATACAGTGCCAAAAAATAAAAGAGCAACAGAAACGAAATGAAAAAAATATCAAGAGTGATTAAAGAGAGGTTTCTCTTTAAGAATATATCGAAAAGAGGTACATACTGAAAGAGTTAGTTAAGGTCGAGATGAAACATGCAACCGTTCAAACACATGGTAGAAGCGTTTAACTATTAGG